ACCTTCTATATGGCAATAAAACATCACAAGCATAGAGAACAAAAGGCAAACTGGGAGAAAATATTTGCAAAATACATACTAAATAAAGGCCTAATAAAACTCATATCCAAAATATTCTTCAATACCAAGGAAATTAAAAAAATAATTTAAATATTAGCAAAAAGCATAAAAAGAAAACTTATCGAAATAAAAAAATTTTAAACTTTTTGTTTTAGACAATGATTAAATAACAGCAGCTGAATTTACATTCTCACTGCATGTAACTAGGAAACTGGATAAAATGAAAGACATTGTTTTGGGATATTAAACAGCATGACATTATAATCCTTAAAAAAATGGAGAAAGATTAGGTGGCACCTACAAATGCTCCAGCTTACTGCTTGGTGATAAATCTATCCCCAGAGCTGGAACTCTGCTAATTTTTCCTGATAACAATCACACTGGAATAGAGAGTTCAGAGAGGTTCCAATAGAGCATGAAACTGTGGAGTGCAGAGAAGAGAGCTGCAGAAATCTGCATAGAGAATGCTCTCGAGTCTTCTTTGTGGGACAAATGGTAGAGCAAGGAACTGATGGAGCCTAGAAAGTAGAATAAATTCCCAGGGTTCACAGTGAGCTGGCTGTGGCCAGCCATGGCACAGTCCTCATGGGGAGTTCAGTAAGAATCACAGAACATTGCAATATGGAAGTGGGGATAAACTATAGAGTACAGGCTACTCCTAACGTATGCTAACAAAGCTTAAAATAGGCTTCAAAATGAACAAACTATCTCCAGGAAATTTAACTTAAACATATAGACAGAAACAGATTAAAAATAAAAGACTGGAGGCTCACCACCTGTAGCACAGTGATTACGGCACCAGCCACAACCACTGAAGGTGGCAGGTTCGAACTAGGCCCAGGTCAGCTAAACAACTGTGACAACAACAACAACAAAAATAGCTGGGCGTTTTGGCAGGTGCCTGTACTCCCATCTACTTGGGAGGCTGAGAGAAGAGAATGGCTTAAGCCCAAGAGTTGGAGGTTGCTGTGAGCTGTGACGCCATTGCACTCTACTGAGGGTGACAAAGTGAGACTCTGTCAAAAAATAAATAAATAAATAAATAAAAATGAAAAAAATAAAAAACTGGAAAGGATATTCAGTGCGAAAATACAAAGAAAGCTGTTGTGGCCATACCAATATCAGACAGAGTAGATTTCTAAACAAAAAAATATTATCAAGGATAAAGATGCACATTTCATAACAATGAGACAAGTCACAAAAAAGACACAAAACTCCTAAACACATAACCAACCAATAACATAATTCTAATACTTATGTGGCAAAAACTGACAGGGATTTAAAAAAAAAAAAAAGATAAATCTGTAAGTATAATTGCAAGTTTCCAGACTCTTTTCAGTTAGGATATAGTAAATTACAACAATACAACCAACTTGACCTAATAGACATTTATTAAACACCCTACCCCAAAACAAATAGCAGAATACATATTACTTTCAATGTTTATGAAATATTCAACAAGTTAGCCCCTATCACGTCTTCTGACATTAAATAATTCCTAATAAACTTAAAAGTACTGAAATAATACACAGTAGTTCTCTGACCACAACAATTAAATTAAGAATCAAGAGCAGAGAGAAAACCCAATATGTGGAAAATACACAACATAATCTCAAATAACCCAAGTCAAAAACAAAACCACAAGGGAAATTAGAAAAACATTATAAGGTCAATAAAAATAAAAGTGAAATAAATAAAACTGAGTATTGAAATGATTATTTTTTTGGTATGGTGAATTAGTGTGACACCTAGTCAAAACACTTCATATTTTTAGGATACCGACTCCTTCAAATAGATCTATAGTTTATCACAATGTCACTTAGAATCCTAGCATATCTGGGGGGAGAAACTGATAAACTAATTGTAAAACATTCTGTATGTTATTACGAAATAGCCAGAATTAGCCAAAACAATTTTGAAGAAAAAAAAGAATAAAACTCCAAGATTCATACTACCTAATTTTAAGACTACACTAATCACGACAGTATGACACTGAAAGAGAATTCAGTATCATTAATCATTAGAGATAATCAATGTAAATCTACATTACTAGGTATTACCAAACATCTGCTATAACGACTAAAACTTAAAAGACTTAATGGAACCGAGATGTGGAGCAAATAATTTATCATACCTTGTTGATGCGATAAATTGCATCACCTTATTATACCTTATTGATGGAAATATACAATGGTAAGATCACTCCGGAAAATACCTTGACAGTTTTTAAGTTAAACACACACTTCCATATGACTCAGAAATTCTACTCCTATTTACCCAGATGAAACTAAAACATATGTACTCATGTACAACCTTCCAGAAACAAGTGTACAGGAATACTTGAAGATTTATTCATAATTGTCAAAAACTGGAAACAACCCAGAGATACATAATAGGTAAATAAAATGATAGTAGTTTCCAACAGAATACTACCCAGCAATAAAAAGGAATGACCTATTAACGAAATACAAGGATAAATCTCAAAAGCAGTATACTAAGTGCAGGAAGATGGACACAGAAGAGTACATATAGTTCCATTTATATACACAAGAACCCCTACAGCTGACCATCTCCCTACACTGACCACCTCCTTACGTTGACCTAATTGTCACAGACCAGACATGCACCACATGCACGTATCAATACTGCAGGCCTACTTCCTTATGCTTTCCACCTCTGTACCTTGGTAAGTTTGTTACAGTCACTTGGGTGGTCAACTTACGAAGATTCTTTATATGTGTGTATTCCTGAAAATGTAAAAACGTAGGGGCAGGAATCATTGCCAGAGGTTGGGGGCAAGAGAGGGAAAATGTAAAGGGAAATGAAGGAACTTTGGAGGATGAAAGCAATGTTTTATAATAAAGATAGTGAAGCTTATATAATACACATGTGTCAAAACACATCGGACTATACATTTAAGAGGGTGGCTATTTGTAAACTCTGTCTCAATATCAAAACCCTAAAAGTATGCACACTTTAAAGGCTTTTAGTATATACAGCCAAATTGGCCTTCCATTAACTTAATAATTCATTCTCATATTCCCATTTAATTTACATCCTCATAGGGATTATAGGAATGCCTATACCTTCATCACCCTCAATATTATCAGATTATTGTTTTAGACTTTTCTAATTTGATGAGTCTTTTAAAAACAGAGCCTTGCTATTTTGATCCCCCTATTTTTCACTTTTAGCAAAGGTGACTTTTTTTCATATTTTTAAGAACAATTGTATTTCTTGTGTTTTGTCTGTTCATTCCTTTCAAACATTGCTTTAGGAAAGCATTCTGTGTTTTTCTTATTTTTTTAGTGCTTGCTAGATGTTCTCAAATATTTATCTAAATATATTTCCCAGTTTCTCATTTACTTTTCATTATATCAGTTTTTAGTATAAAGATATCTTAAAATTTTAAAAGATATTTTTTCTCTTGCATTTTTATTTAGAAATTTTCTTTACCTATGCAGAGATCAGTTAAATATTTAACTACATCTTTTCTAATTTTTTATAGACTTGATTTCTTAACTCCTTAAACCTGTGATGTGATAGTAGCTATGTTAATACTCATTCCTCCATGTTGATGTTTTCATACGTAAAAACATAAGCCATATTTCTTAAATAGACATTTTTAAAAAGAAATTTTATGTTCAATTTAGGTAAATTTACAGCAATTTAGGTAAATTGAGTGTAAAGTACAGTGAGCGCCCCTACACCTCCAGCACACGTTAGCTCTCCCCTACTATCAATATTCCTCACCAGAGTGGTACATCTCTTATAATAGATGGACCTGCATTGACACCTCCTTATCACCTCCGGTATATAGTTTAAGGCTATTAGTGTGGTACACTCAGTGTGTGCCCAGAAAGGTATGATGACATGTTTCCACCATTACAGTATCAAACAGAGTAGTTTCACTGTCCTAAAAATCCTCTGTGCTCCCCCTATTCAGCCCTCCCCTATCACCAGACCCCAAGCAACCAGTAACCTTTTAATTGTCTCCAAAGTTTTGACTTTTCCAGAATTCATACAGTCAGAATGATGTAGTCAGTAAAGCCTTTTCAAATTGGCTTTTTTCACATGGTAATACACATCTAAGTTTACTCCATGTTTTTTCAAGGCTTGATAGTTTGTTCATTTTAGCACAAATAATACTCCATCATCTGAATGTATCACAGTTTATTTATCCTTTCACCTACAGAAGGACATCTTGGTTGCTTCAATGTTTTGACATGTATGACTAAAACTACTATACGCATCTGTGTGCAGGTTTTTGTATGCATGTATGTTTTCAACCCATTTGGGTAAATACCAAGGAACACAACTGCTGGATGGTACAGTAAGAGCAGTTTAGTCTTCTGAAAAGTGCCAAACTGTCTTCCAAAGTGGCTGTATCATTTCTCATTCTCATCAGAAATGAATTAGAATTCCTGTTGCTCCATATACTCGCTAGCAGTTGGTGTCATACTACCTGCTTTTTAAGTACTAATGGCCACACTGGACAAACACATGTCCATCATCACAAAAAGTTCTATTGGAAATGCTTCTCTATTTAAAACTTAATTGGTTATACAGAAGGAAAAAAGGATCTAATATGACAGCTTTCTTTCTCCTCTGCATAAATGTTTCCTCACTACCAATGGATTTTGATGGCTATCTGCATATCCGTATTTTCTAGAAGATTCAAATTCCTTCTCAGTCATTTCTCAAACTATATGCCCATCAACATTACTTAACCCCTCAGACTCTCAGTTTCTTATCTTAATTACTCATTAGTTTGGGGGTAAAGATTAAGATTAGATAACAAAGGCAAGATAAATTATAACATTCATCATGTTAAGCCCTCACATTTGTAAACTCTTCTGGGTTAGGCATTAGTTTTTTGAATGTTTCAGTATGGTACTTTGAGGACCTTTACCAAAAGCAAAAGCTAAATATGTATTTACCCGATCTGGATTTTTGTAACCCAAAAGTAGATTTGCTGCTTTTATATCACCGTGAACATATTCATTTTCATGTATATATTCCAGTACATCCAACTGTGAAATGAAACAGACAATAAAAGGTTATACTGTTATTAGAACTCAGGACCATCTTGAACATTCTGAATATAGAATAACATGGGATTTTATTTATGTTAACAATGACAAAGTGATATATTTCACAATTATCAGTTAATTACTCCATTCTATCATAACACATCCTCTAGTTGCTCATCCTGGAAAAAGTAAAATTATCCTCATTAGATATTAATCAAATATTTTAACTAAAACTCTTACAGAAGGAAACCAGGATCCAAAAATGCTTATGCCTATGCTCCAGATAGCCCAGTGGCCAAACCACACTGTGCAAAGAGGAAAAAGATAGCATAAAATCAGAGACTTGCAGTGAAAGAATCATGAAATCCACACAGCAATTCCTCACCTAAGCAATAATTTCAAATCAGGTCTTGAGGACCTCAGCACAAAATGCCATGTCTGTGAGTACAGGAAAGGCATTCTTCCACTATATTAGAAAAGTCCTTCGTTTCATCTTTAGAGCCCTTCAGCCTTGTATATCATATACACCTAGGGTGACCAGATTTTAACATCTGTAAGGTGGGACAACAGGCCAGGGGGCGGAGCGGGGGCACGGGACAGCGCAGGGCAGGGCCTGACAACAATGCAAACTTTGATAAGCAGTTCTCGATAATCACTTCTCAGCAATTATTTATTACAGTTAACATTATAAAATTAACAAAAATAGTATAAAACTCATATTCTGGCGAAATAGCCATATGGTGGCCAAAAACCATATATTCCTTTCTTGTTCTCCAGCCGGTTTGTGCATTCTTTCCAAAAATTGGGACTTTTTAAAAATGCCACAGGAAGCGGGACAAATTGTTGGAAAGTGGGACTGCCCCGCCAAAATCGGGACGTCTGGTCACCCTACATACACCCAGTGCTCAGTAAACATTTACTGGCTGAGTGGATGGATTAATGGATGAATGGAAAAATTAATATGTTCTATTTGCCACATCCTAACCTGGCATGAATAACGCCATTCTATTAAAAATGGAAAAAAATGAGACTTTAGCAAACAAAACGCAAACAAGATAAGGCAAATACGTGGTATAAACAAATGTGTGAATACGCTCCTGGGTGCTATTAAGATTTCATTGCTTTTTATTTGGCAAAGTACGTATTATTCATGGCCACAACTAGTTCTTGCCACCATCCCAAACTCATAACAAAAACATTATAGTACCCCCACATTATCACATGGTTAGTGTGGAAAAAAGTATATTTTGTCACGATTTTCATTGTCACAAATATAACTGACAAAAGAAAGGTTATTCTTACAGCAATGAAAGCCTGTTCTGGTATGTAAAACAGAGCTGTACAAGAACAGGAAGATAAAACTGTAAAACCAAAGCCTAATTGAGTCTGCAGTGCCAAACACAGCGTATTCTGTCACCTACAGAGCCCACAGTTATCAATTTCACCAAAATGCTCTGTATTCTCAATAACTGACATTTCTAGGGCAATAACCCTTCATTCTTTGATAATTCAACAAAGGGCAAAGATTTGTATATTGTAATGAGTAAATAACCGGAAAATGGAGTCATTCCTTCTTACCATTCGGATACCCAGCTGCAGGACAGTGGATTTTTTTAAAGTACCATTCTGGTCTGAGATCCTCTGTAAATCGATTCCTAGTCTTTCCATTACCATAAATCTGTAACTATAAGAAAGAGACATAAAAACATGATCTTTCTGAAGAAATAATGCTTGAAACTGTCTATTCAAAAATTTGAAACAAGGAAAAATACTCCTGCCCTAACAATCAAGTATAATGCAATCTAAACTATAAAGAGTGGATGTCCTGCTATTCTTCTACAGAAAGATACTACTATTTACTTTGCAGTTAGTAGAAGAGAACGCTGTACTTACCCACTCACTGTCTTAATTCATGAAAAAAGAATAAATTAGGTAGTCCTGAATTTAATTCATTTTTCACCCTCTCCCCTTATGGACTTAAACAAATTACTTTCCTACACAGAATATTTGTATTTATTTCCTGATCTTACAAGATATTTGTACTGCCTCCATATATTTATAAATATGTTGTTTTAAAGTACACTTCTTCCTTTTCCTTTCCATTGCCGCTCTCCACCCTTCTTTTATTCCCTTTACTTAGATACCCATATCAGCCCCCATTCTATATCTGTGTATACACACACAAAACAATTTGTTTTACAAAAACTGTGATCTTACCATATGCATTTTATTTATCTTACTTTTTTCAATAGTACCTCATTGAAATCTTTCTACATCAATTGGTATAGCTCTATTTGATTCTAGAAGATTCCTTTAATAGGCTGCATATATGAGGCATGGATGTACCATGATTCAGTCCTTCAGTCCCCTTTTACCTTGTTTCAAACTTACTTTCTCAATTTGTTTTTATTTCCAGCATTCAAATACAGTCTGAATAAAGTACTGATGTCTGAACCTATTTTCTCATCTATGAAATAAAATAATATTGCCTATCTTAAAAAATCAACTCTTTATTAATGTGATGACAAGCCACATTTGGTGGTTGAATAGATATTTCTATAATTAAGGTTGTGTTATAATAAAACATAACTTCCTTCTTGGATGCACTCTCTGTGCATGCTTTCTTTCCATACTTGCTCTAGGGGAAGCCAGGTGCCCTTTTTTTTATATGCTTAATACTCAGGTAGCTTAGGCAGAGACACACCTGGTCAAGAAGGCCTGCCAACAATCGCAAAAGCAAATTCAGAAGCAGATCTTAGGTCTACTAATTGCTACAAGTGACTCTGAAAACAGATCCTTTCCTAGTCGAGCCTTGAGCTGCCCGTCACACCCAACCACAGCTAACTACAGCTTCATGAGAGATCCTGAGCTAGAACCACACAAATACGCATCTTGCAAATTCCTGACACACAGAACTAAGATATTATAAGTTTGCTTTCATAAGCCAGTATGTTTTGGGTAGTTTATTACACAGTAATAGATAACTCATACAGCACCTAAGAAATGGAAATAGAACAATACTTGATTATAATGTCATTTTACCTCCTTCCCTTGAATTCGGTCAGACCAGATCCATAAAACATAGGAATTCCTAAATAATCAAGTTGTTTGAGCTCTATCCACTTTTTGACTGCAAAGGCAAATTTAACAACAAAAAAAGATTCATGTTATTTAAAAAGATATTTTGTACCTTCACATAGATACTAAAACCTATTTAGCTAACCAAAATAGTAATTAGACTTTCCTAAAAGGGAAAAGTTTTTTAAATTTTTAAAATCAACTATAGCTACCTAATGGCATCAAACTCTTTGTTATCACTATAATTAACAAAAAACACATACAGAAATTTTAAAATTAAATCAGTAATAACAAAAACAAAAGTCACAGTCTTATAAAATACATGGGCACTATATACGCACGTAGATGTTTCTAATTGTGAAAAAAATTCATTACTTTATATGCTAACTAAATTTTTAAATAAAACATATGTTAACTACAAAAGGATTAGTAGAGAGATGGTTTTTTCTTCTCTATTACTTCAAAATCTAAAGCCATTGTTAAGAACGGAAATAGGGCTGAAAAATCATCTTACTCTGAAATTATGTTACAGAGAAATTGTTTTGATTAAACTTCGTTTACAAAAAAAAAAATCAAATCCACTTAATCAGGTAGTGTAATCATTTTTTTACTTTTCTACCATGTATGTTTAATGTTTAAGACAGCTCTACTGATAAACAATCAAGTTTAATGGATTCTATTTGTCACTCTGACATAGTTTAAACAGTTAGTAAAGACTACAGTCTCAATGCTTAGAAGGCTTTATGAAGGAAAACAAAGTTAATTATTGAGGCCAGACCCATCATTCTTTTTCCTAACTATGATGTAATGGACTTTGATTAGTCATTACTCCTGTCTACTTCTTTAATGCTTTACTAAGCCCATGTACATCATAGTGTATTTAGGGTATTTATAAAATGCTTTCATTCTTCCTCATCTCTGCTCACATTTGTCTCACATTCAAATCCTCTAACTGGTATTCCTTACATCTGCTACCCAGCTAATTAATTTGCCAACATTCAGGTTTCTAAAATTTTCTTAAACATATTAATGTTTAATCACATCTACTGCCCATTTTAATGTCTTTCCCTTATAGCCTTTCTATACAATTTTTTGTAAAAGCAATAATTTCATTCTACTATCTTTACACTTTGATTATGCACAGTAGCTTAGATCAACAACACAACATTTTATAGAAAGTAGTACAAACAACCTTTACTTTAAAATATTTAATTCCTGGCTCAGTGCCTGGAGCTCAGTGGCTAGGGAGCTAACCACATACACTGGAGCTGGTGGGTTCGAAACCAGCCCGCCTGCAAAACAACAATGGCAACTACAACCAAAACATAGCCTGGGCGTTGTGGTGGGCTCCTGTAGTCCCAGCTTCTTGGGAGGCTGAGGCAAGAGAATCGCTTAAGCCCAGGAGTTTGAGGTTGCTGTGAGCTGTGATGCCACGGCACTGTACCCAGGGCAGTAGCTTGAGACTCTGTCTCAAAAACAATAAAATAAAATAAAATATTTAATTCCTTAAATATATCATATCAATATTTGTATACCACTTATCTTGCTTTTATATGTTAGAACAGTTAATTGGAAAAGACTAGGAAAAGACCAAAATATCAAAATTCACTTTACCAAGTACATATCTGAAAATAGTTATTTTTCTAATTTCACTTACTACATTCTTTTTTTGCAGCCCTCTGATAAAATTTAAGTTCAGAAAATAATGGACCATTTTCCTGATACTCCTATGAAAGAAAAGAATAATTAATTTTACTGGGAAAAAAAATCTAAAAATGGAATTGATTTTTCAATTATAAAAATATTGACTATAGGTAACAACATATAATAGTATTTTGGATCAGTTTATCACTTTTTATAAAATATATATCAGATTTTCACTAAAAATCTCAGAAAAACACTAAATAAACTTGAAGAATCTCATTTATAAACAACACATTACCGTACTATTCCTACTCAGTTTTATACACAAAAATGGTCTTCTTAAAGAAAGCTCTTACTAAAAGCACTGAGAATTGTACATATAAAGAAATTGACACTAGCCATATACTAACATGTTCATCACTGCAACTATCCTGTGGTTCATTCATACATGATACATTTATTGAGCAATCTACTATATTCTATTCATTGTCTTAGGCACAGGCAATACAAACAGAATTAAAACCTATGCTGAGTATTAAGGACCTGACCATTTAGGGTATAAAAATAAGGAAGGAAGGAGGGAGGGAGAGCCGGAGGAAGAAAGGAAGACAGTTAGGTAGATAAGATACCCACATGATAGATGGCAATAGAGAAGAACAATGTTTCCCCAGTCTCAATATTTTAATAATGTGAAAATATATCAGAACATTAGGTTTATAGATAAGTAAATAATAAAATTAAGATGGGAAACATTCAAAGAAAGAAAGCAGAAAAGAAAAATGTCAAATACGTGTGAAATCCAAATGTAAGAGTAATATTTACCACTTTTATTACATGTTGTGCCTCTCTCTCTGGTTTATTTGTGGGGAAAGCTGCAGAGAAAAACACAATGGGAAAAAAAGTTACTCCCAATTATTGAGTCCCCAACCATAACCTAGATACTTTACACATTAGTAGTTTATTATATCATCCCAACAACCTCTTATGATAGTAGATGACAGTAACTATCATACTTTTTATACCACATGCTACAAAAGTTTGAGAGGGTGAATGAGTAAGTCTTTCACTAAGTGACAAACTGGATAAAAACTCAGATCTGCCTGGCATCACTGCCCGTGCTCTTTACTGCTAACCATACTTAAAACTTCAAATACAAAAACCAACAGAAAAATATAATCACACAGACCCAAAATGTTGGAAATGTTTCTAATCATATGGCATCAAACCCAATAGATAACGTATAATAAAATTCACAAGTTCAATTGCATTAATTTAAAATCTATAATAATTCAAAAATGAAACTAGATTCATTTTAAGCAAAGTTCAAAATAATTTCTACTTGACCAAATTCTAGAATAAACTAGGTTAAAAATAAGAATAGAGACTTTAAAAATAATCTTCTAGCATTATTACTACATTACAGAGTATGTATCTCATAACATCATTTCAATTTCAAGTTCTCTTCATTTTTTAAATTTTTTTTAGCTACCATAAAAGAATAGATATCTTACTTCATTTTACTCTAATTATACATTTGTAGTAGATATGTAATCCAATTTTGAAAAAATTTAGTGTTCAAATTTTAGAATCAACTAATCCCTTCCTCTGTATTACCTAAACTCTTAAAAAGATTATTTTGTTTTCAAATCCAAGTAAGAGAAGTTTACATGTATATTTATTTGAATCGTAGAAGCCTAAAACTTTGTCGTTCATTTATTCACACTTTATTCATGTATTCTATCACTCATTCAACTAGCCAATATTTATTAAGAAGCCAGAATATGCCAGGCACTGTGTGAAGTGTTTGTTAGGATGTTTTAAGAAAAAGGAAAAGAGAAAAGGTGGAACAAGTAGGAATGCAACTGAAAAACAGGACTTAGACTAAGAACAAAATCAAATTCTTCAGATATAATTTCAGTAATGCTGTGTCCTCTTATTACTCTCTTAATATTTTTCTTTTCTTTCTTCTATCAACTGCTCTTCACTAATTTTTTCCGTTTATTCACATCTTAGATGTAAAATATACATCATGAATTTATTAAAGTACATAAATTGTACATTACAGTTGAGCCTTTAGCCATTCCTCAAAGTTTTTGATATCAGCTATGCTATTAGTCTGGTGACTAACATACTGTTTCAATGCTAGTTGATGTTAGCTATAACTTATAATATCATTAGTCCTACCTGACCTCTTCATAGTAACAAAGAAATTAAACATATTCGTATCACTTAAAATTCTATTTTCATCTTCACTCACGTAATGTTATTTCATATTCACCCACATTAACAGTCCTAAGAGAACAGGAAAAGTGAATTATCTATATCTAGGAAGAAAAAAAAAAAAACTAAAGAAAGTATATACAGAAGAAGGGGTCTAGTTTTGGTATGGAAGAAAGCAGGAGAAAAAACTTTCCTGCCACCCTCTGAGAAACTGAATAACTAGTATGGTACCCACGGCTGGGGAGAGACATCCTGTCTCACCTGTCCTCTTAGAACAGCACCTACTCAGAGGAGTGTGCTCACTTCCTGAGGCAGACCACAGAAACTTCCTCCCGCCTCTTGTCTGAAAGGAAGTGACCCAATAGCAGCAAATCTTTAAACCCAACAGAATGTAAGAACTGAAAAGTACAGAAGGAAAATAGGGATTTCAACAAGATGAAGAACTTATTGAGTTACCATTGCAAAAAAAGATACCCAAACAGTCCAAGGTCCCAGTCCTCATTGTCTTCAACCATTATAATCTAAATCTTCCTTCAACATTATTTCAAGTGAACACAATTACAACATCTCTATACTTTTTATCTGGTAGCTACACAACAGTGTCTACACCCTTCCAAATCAGATTACATTGGAGGAACTAAATCTAAAATCAATTGACTAGATCAAAAACTATTACAGATATAAATTCCATATGAACAAATAAATTGTTCTAGTTACTAGAGGTCTTTTTATATTAAAATAAACAATCATTAATTAATAAAACAAATATTTATTTTCTACTGTGAGCCAAGCCTCATTCCGGATAGTGAAATTAAGTGATGATTTAAAAGTCACAAAATAAATTTAAAAAGTAAAAAGGTTAAGTGAGAATCAAGATCGGTCTTTGTAAATTGATGAACAATAGTCTGGCAAAATTATTTAAGAATAGAAAAGAGAGCAAAATCAGATCGAGAAGAGATTTTGAAAAAGATAAGCCAAAACTATCAATATTATCACCAATAAAATTAAAAACTAGAAGGATGGCAATTTCCTAGAAAAAAAACATAATTTACCAAAAAAGTTCAGAAAATACAAAATCTAAATAGAAATAGAATCATTAAAGAAATCAAACAGTAGTTAAAAAAATAGTCTTTGACTTTAAATGATTGAGCTTAGGATTTTAATGAACCGTTTGCTTTATTCCACTGATTCTATTTGTCTGTTTTTTTGACAGTGTGATATTGTCTTAATTATTGTAGCTTTATAGAAAGCTTTGAAGTTGAGTAGAGTTCTCTTTGTTGTTCCTTAGTATTATGCTCCCTGTTCTGGATCTTTTGCCATTCAGAATTAATTTGTCAGTACCCATAAATTAACTTGTTGGCATTTTGATTGCTTTGAATTCATGACAAGTTGAAAAGAACATCTTAAAAACATGAGTCTTCTTGTTCATGAACATGGAATATCTCTCTACACACAGAGATCTTTGATTCAGACTTTTGTAGTTGTCATCTTTTGTACATATTTTCTTACATTTATAGCTAAGTATTTCTCTTTTCATGCTAATATAAATGGTATTCAGAATGCAACTGCTCATTATTGGTATAAAAGAAATTGACTTCTATATATTAAGTTCATATCTTTCAACTTTCCTATAACAATTTATTAGGTCCGGGTGGTTTTTGATTCTTTGGTATTTTCAACATAGACAATCAAGTCAAATAGAATGAAACAGATGCAACATGTTCATATATATGTGAACCAATCTTTACAACAGAGCAAAGGAAAGTCTTTTTTTTTATTTCGCTCTTAACTGTGTACATTACTGCATTTATGGGGTACAATGTGGTACAGGAACTAGACATCTATATTAAAAAAAAGAAGAACCTAGATACTGACTTTACATAAAAATTAACGCAAACAGATACCAGACCTCAGTGTAAAATGCAAAACTATCAGACTTCTAGAAGATAACACAGATGAAAATCTCGGTCATCTAGAATAAAGATCAATCACCATCAGAGAGAAACTATTTGCCAAATATATACTGAAACACTTATAAAATATATATGAAGTATTACTAAAACTCAACAACAAAAAATGAACTTTTTTTTTTTTTTTTGGAGACAGACTCATGCTGTCAAGCTAGAATGTCACTGTGTCAGCCTGGTTCACAGTAACCTTAAATTCAAGGGTTCAGGAGATCCTCCTGCCTCAGCCTCCACAACAACTGGGGCCACAAGCACACACCACTGCACCAGGCTAATTTTTCCATTTATAGTAGAGACATGGCTCATTCTTACTCAGGCTGTTCTCAAACTCCTAAGCTCAAGTGATCCTCCTACTTTGGCCTCCCAGAGTGCTAGGATTATATGGGTGAGCCACTGCATCCAGCCAATAAACTAATTTTAAAACGGGTACAAGATTTAACAGATCTTTCTATAAAAAAAAAAATGAATAAAGATGTCAAACATGTGAAAAGATGCTCAACATACTATGTTATCAGGGAACTCAAATCAAAACAATGACATAGAACTACGCTCTATCAACATGGATAAAATCCAAGATATTGACAATGCCAAATGCTGACAAGTATATGGAATAAGAGGAATGTAAAATGGTACAAAGTTTCTTACAAAACACAGGGTGACTATAAAATCCAGGAATCACACTCCCAGGTACTTATACAAATAAACTAAAAACTGTACCTGCACAAAAATCTGCACAAGAATGTTTTTAACAACTTCATTCATAATTGAAAAAAATTAGAAACAACCAGATGTTCTTCAGAAGGTGAATAGAGAAACTGTGGCATATCTAAGCTATTATTTATTTAAAATATTGTTTAAAAATAAAAAGAAATGCAGTATGAAGCCACAAAAATACAGGGAGGAACCTTAAATACTAATACTTAGTGAAAGAAGCCAATCTGAAAAGACTCTCTACTGTGTAATTCTGACTATATGCTATTCTAGAAAAGGCAAAACTATAAAAACAATAAAAAGATCAGTGCTTATCAGGGGCTAAAGAATAGGAGGGGAAAGGAATAAACAAGTGTAACACAAAACAATTTCAGGGCAGTGAAACCAGACTGTATGATACTGTAATGGTGAATATATGACATTGTACATTTATCAAAACTCATAAAACTATACCACACAGAAGCTTAAGAATGATGGCATGTGCAATGGCACAACTGGGAGGCTGAGGCCAACATGGGCAATATAGTGAGATCCCACCACCACACACACAAAAATAACCTATACAACACAGTAAGTGAGCCCTAATTTAAATTATGAACTTTTAGTAATAATACTTCAATATTGGTTAATAAATTATAACAGATGTACCATACTAACTCAATATATTAATAATAAGGGAAACTACAACAGTGGGAAAGCAAAAACTCTACTATCTGCTCAATTTTCTGTAGACCTAAAATTGCTCTAAAAAATTAAATCTGCTAATTAAAAATAATAATCTAACAAGCAGACCATGAAAAAAGGTGAAAATTCATAGTAGCATCAAAACTGCACTGGATATCCCATTTTATCCCCTCCAGTATCACTTGGTCTGAACTCAAAGCCCCAAACTTGAAAACTGGCATCAGTGTAAACGTAATAAACCCCAAGAGGACCTCTCCAAATAAGAAGGGAAAAGTGGGGAAGAGTAGGAA